GTAAGTCACTGGGGGGGATAAAGAGCCATTGTCTGCAGCTGGTGCATCCCCCACCCCTCCTCTCTGCAGCTGTGAGGAAATCAAACGCTCCTCTTTTCCCCCTTCTCTGCCGCTGTCACAACCTGCTGATGCCTTATTAGGTCATTCATGGGGAGACGTAGTGATGGCTTGTTCAGTGTAGCAGGTACAGATGGAGGAATATCCCACATGACACCACAGTGACACCCCGCAGCAATGTGAGGAAAAGACGGATGGCGGTGGAGTGTAAACATCACCTGCCTGTTGAAGGACATTATATACAACTATGCATTAGTGGTGAGATGATTAGTAAATCCACTGAGTAACAGAAAACTAAAACCCCATTTCTTTCAAGATTCATAAGAACTTTGGCAAGTTGTAAGTAAAGTGAAGTGGCTGAAAATAGCATAAGTAGTGTTTAAACAACTAGTGGAGCTCACAGAAAGTCTTCATCTTCATCTATGTAGGTAGAAAAACTAAAATGTGTTGGTTCCAACTTGTCAAATGAGAAGATTGGTCAGTTTTTCTTGCAGTTTGTCTTCAGATTTATTTATTTTTTATTACCAAAATCAGAAACATAACAATGTTACCTTAGGCTGTGGATTTATCCTCCCCTTTTTTAATGTAGTGCATTGTGGTTACATGTTTATCTATGTTTAACTTATCCTAAGTAAGATTATCTGGATGATATTGTGTTATTAAACTAAATATTCATAGTTTAGCAGTCCTACCTTCTTGACTGCCACAAATCAATCAATCATGCCCGAAGAGAGCAAAATGCTGCCTGAGGAAAATACACATTGCAGGTATGTGAGCATCAGGAGCATCTTTTTTTTTTTTAATTGAATGCCTCCTGTATTTGCCCAAATAGGTCTTCTAGGAAACCCATTTTCATATCCCTCAAAGGCATATTCTGAAATGTTTTATGTTTTAATTTCACCCAACTCTCATTTTGAAACTTACTCAGAATCTGTAACACTTCCTCAAATACAAAGTTTTCACTGGAAACTGCTGTGATACCAAGAGACAAACTGGAACTGTTTCTTTGCTGTGTGATATGCTCATATTATGTCTCACAATCTGTAAAGATATACTTTGAAAATGTTGCTACATGACTCTGTTCAGCACCCAAAAGCCAACTTTCACTTAGAAATGTGCCCAGTGATCATTTATTTCTTTTGTGTGGAGGTGTATGTGGTGGGTGGACTGAGTGAAGGTGTTGTGGAGACCAAACAAAAATTGATGGTGGGACTTGAGTCACTACTTGTGCGTGAGGCCCATAATTCTGTCTCTTGTTAATTTATCAAAACACTGAGTGCATGGTACTCTGAGAATATCAACCGAACACGAAAAGGAGGCCAGAGAACTTTAGTCTCTGAGTTATGGATGCAACTTATGGCAACCAAATAAATTGAAGGATTTTGGAAACACTGATAACCAATGTGTAAATTGTAGGTTCTCAATGTCTACTACGTTAGAATAAAAAGAACTAAACGTTGCCTGTCTCAGCTCTATTGGTCTTGGCTGGGTATCGTCTAAAGAGGGACACAAGTGTTTGTGAGCAAAACATTTAATGTACAAAAATGCGCAGTGTTCTCAGTATTTAAGTGTCAGCATAGTGAGAATTGAAGACAATCTTTTGTTGTTGTAGACCATTATAAAACTAGTAAAGCTTTAAATATGGTGTCCAGTATTTATACAGCAAATATGGTAACATCACTGCCACATTCCAGCCATCTGAAGTGATACACTTCTACAGTGTGGTCCAGTTACTTGATTGAGGATTTATCCACACAAGTCATAGATTTAGTAGTCATACTGTAAAACGACAAAAAAATTCAAACAAAAAGTCATTTTTTTTAAAAATGTACAAATTTGGAATGCTGTCATGTTTTATTTTTGTTGGCAGATTTTTGTAAAATAATATTGTTAGCTAATTAAACTACAGTAAAATTGTGCGACTTTAGTGAAACACGTTGTAAAAAAATTAATAAATAAAATTTAGGTGTAAAATAGCAGTTGAAAAATATACAGTTGAAGCCAGACGTTTACATACACTATAAAAAGACACATAACCTTCTTTTTTTTTCTCACTGTCTGACATTAAATGTAACTAAACATTTCCTGTTTTGGGTCACTTAAGATTACCAAAATTATTTCTATTTTTTTTAAAGATATATTTTTGGGCTTTTCTGCCTTTAATGATAGTTTGACAGTGAAACGTGGGGAGGAGGGGGAATGACATGCAGCAAACAAGCCGCTGGCTGGAATCGAACTGCGGCCGTTGCGTCGGGGATTATAGCCCTTGTACATGGGTCGCCCACCCTACCCGCTGAACTTTCTGGGCGCCCTTGTTTCTATTTTTTAAATGTCTGAGAAACAGAAATATTTTTTATTACTTTCTTCAGAGTCAGAAGTTGACATACATTTCCTTAGCATTTGGTAGTATTGCCTTTAAACTGTCTGACTTGGGTCAATGGTTTTGGTATCCTTCCACAAGCTTCTCACAATACTTTGCTGGGATTCTGGCCCATTCCTCCTGACAGAACTGGTGTAACTGAGTCAGGTTTGTTGGCCACCTTGCTCGCACAAGCCTTTTCAGCCCTGCCCACAAATTTTCTATGGGATTGAGATCAGGGCTTTGTGATGGCCACTCCAAAACATTGACTATGTTGTCCCTGAGCCACTTTGTAGCTAATTTGGTGCTATGTTTAGGGTCATTGTTCATTTGGGAGACCCATTTGTGCTCAAACTTTAACTTCCTGGCTGATGTCTTCAGATGTTGCTTCAATATTTCCACATAATGTTCTTTCCTCGTGATGCCATTTGTTTTGTGAAGTGCATCAGTCCTTCCTCCATCAAAACACCTCCACAACATGATGCTGCCACCCCCATGCTTCACATTTCGGATGGTGTTCTCAGGCTTGCAAACTTTCCCCTTTTCCTCCAAATGTAACAATGGTCATTATGGCCAAACAGTTCAGTTTTAGTTTCATCAGACCACAGGACATGTCTCCAAAATTAAGGTCTTTGTCCCTGTGTGCATTTGCAAACTGTAATCTGGCTTTTTTATAGTGTTTTTGGAGTAATGTCTCCTCCTCTCTGAGTATCCTTTCAGCTCATGTCGGTACAGGACTCGTTTCACTGTGGATAATGACACTAATAATAATGACCAGCTTCAGCAGCATCTTCACAAGGTCTTTTACTTTTGTTCTGGGGTCGCACCAAAACACTTTATCTCTGGGACACAGAACCCATCTCCTGAGCGGTGTGATGGCTGGACATTCCCATGATGTTTATTCTTGCGTATAATTGTTTGAACAGATGCATGTGGAACCTTCAGGCATCTGGAAATTGTACCGAGGGATGAAATAGACTTGTGAAGGTCCTCAATTCTCTTCCAGATATCTTGGCTGATTTCTTTAGACTTGTCTTAAAGTGTACCTTAAAATACATCCACAGGTGTTCCTCCAGTTAACTGAGATGTTGTCAATTAACCTATCAAAAGCTTCCAAAGCCATGACATCATCATCTGGGCTTTCCCAAATAGTTTGAAGGCATAGTAATGTTAGTGTATGTAAACTTGTGACTTTGAGGAAAGTAATAAAAAAAATTCTATAAAAAAATGTCTCTCTCATTATTCTGGCATTTAGCAAATAGAAATAATGATGGTAATCCTAACTGACCTAAAACAGGGGGAAAAAATTGTCTGATTTAATGTCAGATAATGAGAGAAAAAAGGGTTCTTTGTATTTTTGTACAGTGTATGTAAACTTGTGGTTTCAGCTGTTTTTCTCTGTCTCTCTACTCACACACATGTGGCTGGGTGGCAGGATATGGGAAACACCTCTCAGCATGATGTTAAAGTATAGAATTAACACCTCTGTGGCAGTGTCAAAACAAACTGAACATTGCAGGCATTAAATCTCACTTTAGTGCAGGTGTGCCTCACAAAGTGGACACTGCTTGCCTTGGGCATAGAAAATAAACTTGTATTTTGCTCTACACCTTCCTTTAAAACATCTGTAAAGCTAGTAGCAATAATTGAAATCATATTTTAAACTTTTAATGACATGTTTGCTCAGATGTTGGGACTGAATGTTCATTCTTGACCCTAAAAGGTGTGAAGTATTCTCACTACTTGTTTCTTTTAGCATATATTAAGGATCTGGCAAAACGAAAGCCAAAAGGGGAGAGAATTCACCTTTAATCTGTAAAATAACCCGTTATTTATGGTCCACAAGTGATATGAATGAAAGACATGTTTGTAAATCTACTCTTGAAGAGGTAACAATGTCTCTCAAACACGGAAATGAAGGCCCGGGTTAACCTCAGTGCAACTCAGCTGGCATCCATGTAGGAATTAAATTCAGAGTTTCATTTGCAGGTATTCCTTGCTGTCACTTGTCTTATTCAGTGTTAGAGCAGACTATCAATGAATGGATCGCCTGTGAAGGCAGCCTGAGCTCCTGTGAATCCTCAGCAGCTCTGCGCCTTTAAATCTCTGCGCTCCTCCCTCTTCTCAATGACAAGCCCGCAGAGCCTCTTTAACGCATCCAGTGGAAGTGACAAACCAGAGGCGCACCACGGGGCCAGCATGTCAAATAATAACAATAATCATGGGCTTTAGCATCCGCAGCTCATCCCAGACTCGCTTCCCGATCGGACACTGAACGAGGCGTCTCCGGGCCCGCGTCGTGAGGGTCCACGGACCCCCGTCAAAGTTGGAGCGGACTCGACAAATGGACGTCGATGGACAGGACTGAAAGCTCTACTTCTTGTGTCGGACTGAAGGAAGGAGGGAAAGAAACCTCTGCATGTTCAAGTTTCCTGCTCCGACCAGAGGGGCATCTGTGCGTGCGTGTTGGATGTGTGTGTGTGGAAGCGTGTGTCGGGTGCGCAGCAGCAGCAGCGGCGGTGGTGGTGGTGGTGGTGGAGGTGGAGGTGGTGGTGGCCGCAGGAAAGGAAGTTTAGCGCCGTGATTTTTGTATTTTTTATTTTTTCGTTCCTTTCCCCCCTTTTTTTTCTATTCTGTTGTGTTGTTTTCATGTGGCAACAGGGGGCAGGCGGATTAACGTTTCCCTGATGAAAATTAATCATCTGTGGAGAGGCTCCGTGATCGTGACTATGATGATGATGTCGAGTAAGAGCGTGGAGTGGCTGCAGGAGGAGCTGGAGTCCGGGGCCGGCGCGCTGCTGCTGCTCGACTGCAGACCCCATGAGCTGTACGAGTCCTCGCACATCGAGTCGGCCATCAACCTGGCCATCCCGGGCCTCATGCTCCGCAGGCTTAAGAAGGGCAACCTCCCCATCCGCTCCATCATCCCCAACAACGAGGACAAGGAGAAATTCGCCAAGCGCTGCAAGACGGACGTGGTGGTCCTGTACGACGAGGCGACCTCGGAGCGGCAGGAGTCCGGGCTGGGGAGCTCCGTGCTGGGGCTGCTGCTGCAGAAGCTCCGGGACGACGGCTGCAAGGCTTTCTACCTGGAGGGTAAGAGCAGATCAATGTGGCTTTAAATCTCAACATGTCGTGGCTTTAATTCATAAAAACAACACACACACTATTGCTTTATGATAATGTGGAGTGATTGTTTAATTCCACTCTCATGTGATGAACTTAAATGTCCCAATTACATGATCTGCTGGTGTCACTCTCACTAATAATTAATACCAAGCAGTAACTATACATCAGTGTTAATGCTTTAATTAATAGTCACATTTACTGGATTTGTCTGATTTGCGCCAGAATACTGGAGATTCTGGGTGTTCAAAGGACTGATTGTGGCTCAGGCTCCTATTAGTAGCCTGTGAAACATTATTACATGGATACAAGTGTTTGTAGTGGGATTACAGGGTCACAGTGTGGCGCCACTTAAAATAAATCCAGCTGTTATCATCTGTCTACACACTAAAGTGAGTTATTTGCTGCTAAAGAGACAGTTTGGCCTGTTAGAATAAGCTCTGATGGTATGATGGTGACATCCTGCCACTCTCAACTCTGGTGTTGACATGAATTCTTCTGATTGGTTTTTCACCAAAATAATAAAAAAGGATAAAACCGTGTCTCAGAATACAGAGCTGGTTGCAAATACGGTATGTTTTCAATTAAATGATGCAAAAAAGAAAAAAAAGAAAAAAGCCCCGCCATGTTGTGTTCCTTCAGGAAAAGACAGACAGGCTCTTTTTTTCATGAATGAACAGAAAGACGAGGACACGACGACGCTCTTTGCACAATCCTCCAGCATCCCAACAAAAAGCTGATGTGCTTCATTTGAAACAAAATACATTAAAACAATACTAGGCGCAGATCGTGCATTACATGCGGTGGCAGCAGCAGAGAGGAGGACGTCTGACCTGGACGTGGTGGAAATGTTTGACGGGAGTCGCTGCCATTCACAAAAAGTCCACTGAGCTGCGTGCTGTTGTAGCGGAGCTGCATGTCCTGGTCTGCTGCTGATCCTCCGCACGGCTCCGCTTTTCTCAATGGACCACATCTGTCCAGCCTGTTTTCTGCCTCATTCTCATGTAAATATACCCCCCTTTTAAAATAAATGAATAAATAAATATGTAAATAAATCTGCCACATCAGGGTTATGATGTGGGGCTGCATTTATATAAAAAAACAAAACAGGATTTGAATAGAATAACTCCACAAAAATGATTTTAGTTCCTTATTCTCTCTTCATTCTAATAGAAATATACAGTTTATATTTGAGGCATTAATCTCAATGTGAGTTGAGTGAGAAAGCTGTGTGAGGTGATTCTGTTTTGTCCACCATTACACCTCCATCTGGATCATGTTTGACAGAGAAGAAATAGAGACTTAATGCATCTTAGATTTGAATATTCTGTTGCAAAACATTGCATTTTTACCACCTCATTTTCTAGATATTTTATAATCGTGTGAATAAGGTTAATTTTGTCGTCATTTAGTTCATGACCTGCCTTCGTCATGTGTGTCTTAAATCAGATTTTTCTGTTTTAAAAGATATTTTCTCATTTTTACCCCCGTTACTGTTCACTTTTAAATATGTATGTATTTTGTAATAGTATAAATAAGGTTCATTTCTTGCCATTTGGGTTCATGAATTCATGACCTGCCCTCATGTTGTGTGTCTTTGATTGGATTTTTCTATTCTAAAAAATATTTTTACCAACTCTATTGTTGTGTTTTTCCCCCAAATTATTAAGTAAGAGTATAAATGAAGTAATTTTTTGGTCATTTAGGTTCATGAACTGTCCTCATGTGTGTGTCTTAGGTTGGACTTTTCGAATTTAAAACATATTCTTCTTGTTTATACCACCTTTACTATTCTGTTTTTCAGAAATGTTTGGTAATAGTATCAATAGGATTAATTGCTCGTCGTTTAGGTTTATTATCTGCAGAGTTAATGTTAAATTACACGCTTTAGGTACATTTTATAACACCCAAAGCCATGACTTTCTTGGCTTTATTCTAACATTGATTTTCTTTTTTTCTTTTTCCTGTGTCCTCCAGGAGGCTTCAACAAGTTCCAGTCTGAGTACCCCGAGCACTGCGAGACCAATTTGGACTGCTCCTGTCCCAGCAGCTCCCCACCAGCTTCCGTCCTCGGCCTTGGGGGACTCCGCATCAGCTCCGACTGCTCGGATGGAGAATCTGACCGCGAGCCGGGCAGCGCTACCGAGTCGGAGGGCAGCCCCCTCCCCAACAACCAGCCAGCGTTCCCTGTCCAGATCCTGCCGTACCTTTACCTGGGCTGTGCCAAAGATTCCACCAACCTGGATGTGCTCAGCAAGTACAACATCAAGTACATCCTCAACGTGACGCCCAACCTGCCCAACATGTTCGAACATGAAGGGGACTTCAAGTACAAACAGATCCCTATCTCTGATCACTGGAGCCAGAACCTCTCACAGTTTTTCCCCGAGGCCATTTCATTTATCGGTGAGTGAAGGTGGAAAATGCAGTGGTGTTATGTCAGATAAACATCAGATTTGTAGATACACAAGGGTAGCAATTGTTTTGATTTTCTACTGAGAATTTTTGTCATTAATCATTGATCGAGCCTGAGGTCACATCTACAAATAGATTGTTTTGCCAGGGTCCAGAATCCACAGATGTTTAGTGTATTATTATAAAGAAGAGCAGCAGATCTGCACGTTTTAAGAAGCTGGAACCAGTACATTTAGTATTTCTGCTTAAGAAATGATCACCAAAAGAGACATTTTTGTCCAGCAAGTAATAATAATTAAATTCTGCTCATTAAATTAAACCTCCTAAAGATTTAACATTTAATATTATATAGGACTAAGAAAAGTGGTTTACGTTTTGTTGTATTATTATAGATTTATATACATTTATCTAAGATTTCCATCGTAAATCATAAACAATGCATATTTACTTTTGTGGAAATAATTTTACGCAGAATTTGTGTGAATTTCGCTAAAAATGCTTCACAAAGCTGCACTCACGCTGTCAAATGCCTGCATTTCTCTAAGACAGATAACATAGGAATTTAAAATCATAAAATGTAACACGACATTTGTGAATAAAACATGGAAATGGATTCTTTGAGAATGGGGTTGCACTGGAGATAGAAGAATTTTAGCCGTCATCTCATCCTATTTTCGGCATTTCCCATCATTCCCATCATTCCATCTGACTTAATTCACAGAGAATGAATGAATACCGTCTCTGATGAATCAATGGCATGTTTGTCTTAAATTGTGCAGACCACTGACATTTCTCCCCTTTCTTTAGAGTAATGATTCTGCTTAGGTGGGAGGAAGTGTGACATATGCCAGAGCCAGAGGTCATGGCAGATTTGGGTCATGCTGATGTTAAATAGAGCTGTCTGACTGCTTGTAATGTGCAGGGATTACATCAGATCTTTTTGGTAACAGCAGGGTAATTATGGGTGAAGGAGACACAGATGTGACTTTATGCTGTGCTGCTGAAACTTGCAAATACCCTAAACATCTAAATTATTGTTTTCACATGTATTTTTTTAAAGCTTGCACGAATGTAGAGAGAGATGCATGAGATTTTTTTTAATACATCAATAAATGGGAGGTTCTTGCGTTATTGTGCATTTCAAGCATGAGTAAAGTGATGTAATGCTGCTCAGTTCAAGGAGATTAACCACTGGCTACTTGCTTGACTTCTGAGCCTTGTATAGTCGGGTTTGATTCTTCAAGACGAGGGTTTTTGGCCCCTTTTTTATGGTGGAAAGTGAGCACACATCACATATAAATTTAATTAGAGATCGCCTTGGCAGCCTGAGCTCATGAGCCAACTGACCCCAATCCTACAACAAGAGATGCAGGCAGAGAGAGTGAGGAGAGGCAGCGAGAGATAAAGGAGAGGATGAAAGAGACGGAGGGAAGAAAGAAAGGAAGGAAAGAAGCACTTAACTCTCGCTCTAATGGCCTGTGGAGATGCAAGTGCAAGGGCTCGAAACTGATAGGTGGATTGATGTAGCCGGTTAATAATGTAAGATGTTTTTATTCAGCTTTTTTCTACAGACAGTAAACTGGAAAGCAGAATGAACTCTGACTTTCTGCTGTCATTGAGAAAGGTCATTCTGGATTGAAGATACGATAAAGTAAACAGATAATTGTATGCATGCTTTTGTTGATGGAAATATCTAATTGTCTGTTTTCATATCTTGAGCTGATGTGTTATTGTTATTGCATTATTATTGTTGTTTACCTTTGTTTAATCAGGAAATCCCATTAAGATCAAAAATCTCTTTTACGAGGGAGACCTGGCCGAGGTAGCAGCCACACAAAATCAAAAGCTATATAAAACAAATACATGATACACAAATAGTCAACAAACAGTAAAACAATCAAACAGATCGACAGCTATTCAAGGACAGTGGCCTTTCATCTAATAACATTTAATGTGATATTATTTTCATTATTGATTATTTTGCTTATTATATTCTCTGTCAGTCCAGAAAATGTATTTAATGAAAAAATAAAGTAAGAAGGAGAAAATCTGTAAAGCAGTCATATAGCAAATGGAGGGTATTTTGTTCTGTAAAAGTGACTCCAAATAATCATCAATATAGTTACAAACTGAACTGACTGATTCACTAATGGACTATTTCTGACCATATGATGTTATTCTGCAGGAATTTGGTCGATGTTCAGTGACATGAAGAGCTGTCTGTGTACATATTTGCTATAAAGTGATTTCCTAACCATACTGGCATCATTTAAAATCATTATAACTTAAAGAGCAGCATTAACACCTCCTGAAAACAGGCTTGAAATTTCAACCAGAGAGGGCAATGAATCACTGACTCTCAGCCTGCTGTTAAATTAGATTTTAAATAGAGCCGGCTCCAATCATTTGTTTTATACATTTGCATATAACTGTTGGTCATAATGTCAGTCAGAAAGCACTTTATCTGTCTGACTCATTATTAATTTGAAATCTTGAAGGTTCATGACTGAAACCAGCTCTCTTTGTTTCCTCCTCTTCAGACGAGGCTCGCTCCAAAAAGTGCGGCATCCTGGTCCACTGCCTGGCGGGGATCAGCCGCTCAGTCACCGTCACCGTGGCCTACCTGATGCAGAAGCTCAACCTGTCGCTCAACGACGCCTACGACTTCGTCAAGCGGAAAAAGTCAAACATTTCCCCAAACTTTAACTTCATGGGCCAGCTCCTGGACTTTGAGCGGACACTGGGCCTGAACAGCCCCTGCGACAACCACTCGACCTCCCCTACGCACGACCAGCTCTTCTTCACCACCCCGACCAATCACAATGTGTTTCAACTGGACACCCTGGAGTCCACATGAAAATCAGACTCTCGACTGTCCCCCTTTTTTTGTTAAAGGGGGGGGAAGTGGTCAAGGTGGTGTTGTTACCATGGTAACCAGTGGCTGCATTGCAGGAAAAGCAGCCAGTTTTAATGAATGTTTTAGCCTCCCGACGCTTGTTGTCTGAGAGCCTGGCCACGGAGCAGCGTTGGAGCAACAGGAGGGGTCACTGATGCCACGTTAAAGGGGACAGGGAGTGTTTTTGTTTATTTGAACCCAGAGAAGGGAACTGTAGGTTTACAATGGCGTTCTCCTCTGCATTGATTGAAATCGAGGAACAAAACTCCCCGACTGACTTGTCTTGTCTTGTTCTGGAAGAGCAGGGGAGACCTAACTGACTGAGAAACTGAACGGTCGCAGCAGGACGGACAGCTTTACACAAAGAAAAGGTTCATATACAGCGCTCGATTTATGAGATGACAGCATCCTCTCTGTCTTTCTGTCTCGGCTCGCGAGCTGAGCTGACTGGTGCCAAGTGGAGAATCTGGGATTTACTCAAAGGAAATCTCGCTCTACTGAATGTAGAGTTTTCAAAAACCAAGGAATTAACACACATTTTTGCGCACACACATACACACACAAACAAAGTATGTATGTTTGTACTGTATGTACTGTATGTATGTTAACGTACATAGCAGAAAATGTATGGGCAGTCCTTAACAAATTCAGTATGTCTATATGCATTTTTGTATATTTTTATGTACATTTACGCACAGATCTATACCTTATATAAATATATACGCATAGAAATCTTATCTTTGTCCAAAAACAAAGTAATCCAATCCAATGATGGCTTAAGAGATTGTAAAACTAAAGAAGGGGAATGGGTGTTGAGGTAGTCCTAGTTGTCTTCTTTTTTTGTGTGTGTTTTTTTTTCAGTTTTGTTTTTCTTTAGGTTTGTAATGACCTAATGCAGTTTGCACAGTGGTGTAGCCATTGACTTGCTGGCACTTGGAGCCGGTGCTGGAAGCAGGCAGATAAAGAGACATTCAGAGAAGAGGAGTGGATAGAGGAGAGGCCAGTCCCAGGCTGCGACAAGTCCTGACAGCTGCACGGCGCCGTGGGGAGGGAGCAGGAACTGGGCCCTGAGCGGAGGAGCAGGGGTTAGGCCTGGGTTAGAGGTTAGAACGGACGGCGGCATGGGGTTAGGAATCATTTAAACCGGGGTTGAGGGTCGGGTGAGAATGCTGCTGTAGATATGACGCTTGGCCAACTATTTTCAAGTGCGGTTGCCAGGTCCTTCTTCCTTCCCCGTATGACTGTTCATCCAGTTGCTGAACAAGAAGTACCAGTTGTTTCCACCAGCTGTTCACATTATTTTAAGTGTTTGTTTCATTTCGGTTAAAATTCTGAACTTCCGTGGTTACTTCATCACGACAGTTGTCTAACCGGTATGTTTCACCATAACTGGTTTTCTAACAGCTCTTAGCTTTTGTTCTGTGCAGACGCTTCAGTGAGACGTTAGTGGTTAAGGATGGGGGAGAGTTATTTTAGCAGCCTCAGGCGAAGAAGTACCTCAGCCTTCTTATATAACCTACATTACAAACATCCTGTTGCCACAGGAGTGACTTGTTCAGTTTGTTGGCCTGTTTTAGGTTCATTCTAGAGAGATTTGCCAAAAAGGACTTCAGGACTGTGATTGTAAACTGGTCTCTGTGTTGGATTCTGGTGTCCTGGACTGGGACTGGCCTCAGCTACAGACTGCACTTACTTACTTCAATCACTTCATGTCCCTTAATGGCATCGGAGGAAACTGAAAACAGAAGCTCTTTCTTAGTAGGGATCCCCCATTTCGTCAAACAAAGATTTGTCTGAGTCGATTCACCCTTAAGCCTTGGGTATATTATATGAAAGATATATTAAACACAAATGAATATATATAAATATATATAATAGAGCTAATAGTGAACAGATCTATATTATTTTGTATACCTGAGCATGCTGTGGTGCTGTATGCTCTCTAACAGTAGACGTAACCACGGGTTGGATGTTGCTTTACCAGGTGGAAAGACAAAACAATGAGGACTGTTTTTTTAACCGCTGTTGCTGCTGAACACAGCGGCACACAGCATGTGGTCAAAGCGTTTTCTGAGGCACTGTCCACATCTGTAGCACCTAAACTAAAAGGGGAAATTATGGTTGAAAAAATATTATGGGAGAATCCTGCAGTGATTTTAAGAAAGATGTTTTTTTTTTTTTTTTTTTAATGGGGCTAAATTCTCCTCTGCTGCAGTATTTTTTTCTCCTAATTGGCTTTCCACTTATGGATGGAATAACAATTACATGAATTTGACTTAAGGTAACATCTGTAGGTACAATGGGCCTCATGAAAGAACATTTTCATTTTCTTCTTCTTGAGCAAACATGTTGTAATCGTTCAGTTTAAGGTTTCATGTGTGAAAATGCCACATTATGGGAGTGTCACACCGCAGGAGGCACAAGTCGGAAATCAGCAGAATCAAACAGGATAAATTGAGCAATGACAATATTTGCATTATGAGACCTGAAAAAGAGAAATAGCTTATTATTACAGTATTATTACAGTTGTTTGTAGTGTGACAGAAACAATGCCAAATGAGAGAATAGCGTAACGCTGCAGGTGGCAGGTGGAACAGAGGATATTTAGCCTGACAGTCACCAGCATAAAGACACTGAGGCAGCTGTTGGAAGCAGTGACAAGAAGAATATTTTTTACTGATCTTATTTGATATCAGTAACATATGTAGTCTCCAAATTCATAATGTATTATAATAGGCCAGTAAGTGTTTTTCCACTTGTGGAGAAATGGCTCCAATGAGTTTATTAGAGATGTTTACATCACCTACAGGGCTCCTGCAGGCCTTCAGTTCTCTTAAAACACAATGACCAAGATGTTCCTTAAAAGTGCTTTTTGCATGAGGCCCAATGTGTACCGCAAACTACGCAAATTTCAAAGGTGTGGACGGAGTCTAAACAGAAACAAAGAACTGGGTTTTGGAGGGCACAGCAGTTGAATCTGAAGAGGGTTGGTTTTAGCTGGCCTTATATAATCTTTCTAACTTGTTTCTAATGCTGACTGTTCAATACTCTTTGTATCTCACTTTAGAAAAAAAAGCATTGTGTGTAGAAAAAAAATACGTTTGTTATCTGTTATTTGAACAAGAACACGGTCATAACAGACGGCAAACTGTCTTTTTACCGTAACGGGTCACACGAGGTCCTCTTTGTTACTCTGCAATATATCAAAACACCCTTTTTGCAGTATTTTGTAGATCTACGACCTCAAACATTTTTAAATTCTTCTTCTTTTGTACTATATCTATTCTATATAACTTTGCAAGATCCAGCTCGATTATGGCTTATGGACTGAAGTAACATTTCACCTGGGGTGTCCAAAAACATAGGGCCAGCGTGTCCGCTACCAACGCTGAAAGAGGCCCTCGCAAACACACACAGACACACACACAGCTTCACACAGCTGTGGTTCAGCATGCCACTTATGTTTCACAATAGACAATTACACCACCCGGCTTAAAGAATTACAAGGTATTTTTCCGTCTTGTTTTGATATAATGTGCTCTATGCTATTCCTGTGGCCTTTCAATATGAATATATATCTCAGTATATATATGTTATGAATTTATATGCAAAAGTTCCTCTCCTATTATAGCATCAGAGATGAAAATAATACTACCAAGCTTGAATGGATTTTTCCTCGTCTGGAGTCATATCCCACTTACAATAAGAAAAAAAACACTGAGGACTTGATCACTTGCACCCTAGGATTGAAATATATTTCAGTACAGAGCTTTTCTATTTAAAAAAAAAAACAAAAAAAGAATACAGTTGATTTCAAGCTGCTTTCTTGTGGGTTTCTTTTGTGTGTCTTTGTAACAATGAAAGAGAAATCAAGTTCTCTGTTTGTAAATTTGCCAGATCACGGGAACGGGCGTTTCTGTGTCCTTAAACTTGTAGCTACATCTTTGGTAAGAATGTTGCTTCGAGAGAGAAAGACGTGAATGAGCGAGAGCAGAGCCCGAGGAGGGAGGCGGTGGCAGCGTGAGATACAAAGTGAAAGAAAAAGTGAATGATTTTAAAAATGTTACCTCAGTGAGGAATTTTTCAGGGATTTTTTTGACAATGCATCTTGCATCGTGTTACAGCTTCAAAGTCACGTTGAATAGCTGTTTTGTATTGTGCTGTAGACAGTTTTTAAAAAAAAGATGCAATCTGTCTGTGTATAAAAACAAGGGGCATGTTAACCGGGGCAGTTTCACCTTTCTGTCTACTGAAGGAAATACGATTGACCCTATGTATTGTACAGTATATAAAAACAACACAAGACATGTTTATACCGCAAATAAATATTGAAATATTTTTTTCTTTAACATGTTTCCTCTCTTTTTTTGTAAACCACAAACCTCTGTTAGATTCTTTTAAGTATCACATGAACTGAATGAACAGCTTTCTATGCTGTATATTGACAGCTTACATGAAACAGTGTTTGATTATTGTTGGATTAAAAGATAAAAATGAAGCACAATACCCACTAAGTCTGATGGGAGGGTTAAAGCATTCTTGTAACTGTCGCCTTGTTCTGAAACATTTCAGAGGTTCACGTTTCTAATATTTGCCAAAATTACAAAGAAAAAATATCAGAAAAGCACTTTTTGCTTGAACTGACCAAAGCTGGTAGACAAGGTGTAGCAAGCAGACACTGGCTCGCTTTAAGGTTGACAGACACTGTTGTGAGGAATACATTTGTATGATGTTACGCTAAATGAACTGTTGGATATATCTGCAGCTTAAATGTGAAGCTATAGCCAGTTAGCTCAGCCTAGTGTTTGGGCAGGTGGCTGTGCTGTCATGTAGTAAATGGACAGATGTGATAGTGGTATCAGTTTTCTCATCTAAGTCTCCAAAATGTCTGATTTTTGCTTTAAAATGTGAGTTGCAGATATAAATTCCACTCAGATATGCCATTTTTCGCAGGTAATCATCCACAAAAATGGCTTTACATCAACATTTTATGTTGAACCTGGGATAGGCAGTATCATTTTTTTAATTTACTTTTTTTTTTTTTTTCCATGTGGGCAAAAATTCTATAACTACCTTTATTCAAATGGTCTGGGAGGAAACTAGACTTCGGCACCTCATCTTGGCTCTGTTTTCAGGCTTTGGAAATGTAGATTTTGGCCAATCACAGGTGTTTACAGGGAGAAAGCTTTTCTTTTTTCCCTCTTGGCTGTTATAATAATCCAATATGCACGTGCACAGCCTTCCAGATGGTGAAAAGCCTGATTCAGGGGTGTAAAATCCTATAGGAGAAGTTGCTGTTCCAGCATTGGCAACAAGTGTCTGCAAAGCAATCCAGAACAGGAAGGCGGATTTATCTCACAAGTGGGATGGTAAGCTGCCTCGCTGGAGGTTTCCTCTGGTCAAGCCTATTGGTTAAACTTTGTGTGTGTGTGTGTGTGTGTGTGTGTGTAGAAGAAGGACTGCATTTACAAATTCTGGATTTGTTTCATCTTTCTATTTTCATTCTTTTTATCCTAGATCTAAGTATGCCTTTTAAATAAATTGTGTATAAACATGTTATAAATAGTTTATAATACACTATAATGTAGTTGTAAGTAGATACATGTCATTATAGTTTGTTTTTTTAATATCCTGTATTTAACTTTACCTCAAATATCTGTTTAAAACTTTTGGGTGGCTACAGGAGGAGTTAAAGTCATTGACAAATACATTGATACACAGTTGTGTATTGTCTGTTCAAAGCCTTTTTTAAAAGGGATTGCAATGTCGGAGAAGACTGTGGCAACTGCTTGTTTTTTTCTGTCTTTTGGTTTTGCTTTGCCTAAGACTTCCCCTCATCTTCTTCCACAATCACACACAAGCCTTGTCTTGTTGTTTCTTTGCTGTGGTTTCTAGTAGCTACATATCCGATTGCCTAAACTGAAACTCAGCCACTTCCTTTCCCATACACTACTTTGTGTGTTTTATGTGTGGTAAAAATGGAACACGTTGTCTGCGTTTAAAATAAAAGACTAGAGAAAAACAACCCGCTTCAACCGCTCAGATCACAATCTAACCCTCTGTAAAGTCTGTAATAACAGGTCTTTGCAGTTCAGTGCATCATTACTTGCACTGATCTGGTCAGTAAATTTAGCCAGGCTAACTGGTTTCCAGTCTGCAGGCTGAACTAAGCTAACCTGCTGCTCATTCAAGTTTCATATTGTATTTACTCTATTAACAAACAAAATAAATACATGAATACATTTTACAAATATCCACTGTTTTGTGAAAATAGATACAGATAATAACTAGTAAAAAGAAAAGAAGAAAGAATTAATTTACATGTTAAGAAAAGAGACTAAAACTAAAGCTAATATCCACATCAGAAATCTGTTTTTACACCTGCAAAGCAAAGACTAACCTCTACCCTGTTCAAAATAATTAATGACTCTTATCCTACATCTCCTGAGGAAATCAAGAAACGATGGGAAACTGACCTGGGTTTAACAATTAGTGATGAAACATGGGAGGCCACTCTCAGGGTCATGGTTTGATACAGTTGAAAGTGGTTTCAAGAGCTCATCTCACCAATGCAAGGCTGGCAGACATGTATCCTGACA